CAGGTTGTTTTGCGTGTACTAGTGCAAAAAAAAGTTTTAAAATGACCGTTATACTAGTATAAAAATGACAGTTATGAACTCTAATATTTTAAACAGCCATATAAAATCCCACCATTTATACAATATATATGCTACAAAAGATACAACAATTAAATGAAAACTATCTAATAAAAGAACCATAAGTTTAATCAAGTGGTTGGGGTATACATGATAGCAGTCTGAGCTTTTAAACTATTATTTCAGAATTTGATTCTTGAAAGTATATATAAAGAGCATTACTTAAGCGAGGACAATCTTTTAAATGTCACTTAAATATCATGTAGAAGACAAAAGAATCACAAGTGTGGTTGGTTGGTTTTGGTACTCTAAAATATGATGGTTATTAGCCAATATTCAAAGTTTCAAACCCTCTTTGAATGTGACTGGTTGGTGCCAATTATTAACAAGGCTTTGTTTGACTAGGGAGAAAAATATGGATGAGAAAATATTGGAAGAGAAAATAAAAGGTTGACTATTTATTTAGAATTTTCTCTCTTAATGTGCTTGGAAGTGATATACAACTACACTCTACTTTCTAATAATATTTTGGCTGAAGTGGAAAAAAGCTCCAAAAATTTTGCTTGGGATTTTTTTAATGGGCACAAAAAATTTCATCTTTTTTCTTGAAACTATGTTACCAAGGAGAAAACTAATGGAGGCCTCAACATAAAAAATCTCAAGTCTCAAAATATTACATACATCATGAAACTTTGCCTAGGTCATATCACTCAACCAAATCACTTATGGGTTAGGATCCTTCATGACAAACACATATGTCTTATTCCCTCTCCTCCTATAGTCTACGAACCTAGAGCTACTTCCTCTCATACTTGGAATAGTATATGTAAAATTTGGGATAAATTCATGACACATGTCGGTAGGAAAGTTGGTAAAGGAGACAATTTCTTTCAAGTATAATAAATGGTCCCTTCTTTTAGAACCTCTTATTAGATATGCTTTCCCTAGTGCTGAGTTCATCCTCCATGCTATTGTTTCTTACTTTCACAACCCCTCAGGAGGATGAAATTTTAGCCTTCCAAATCGCCACCTTCACCCTAAGGTGATAAGGCAAATTACACTTGTGCAACCTCTCAACCCTTATAGTGATGAAGATGTCCTTATTTGGAGACCTTCCTCTAATGAAAATTTTCCTATTAAATCTACTTATGAGGCTTTGGCTTTTCAAAAGGACCAAACCAATAATGACATTTGGTCACAAATTTAAAAATGGCCTACTTATAAAAAAATTAAGTACTTTCTTTGCAAAGTTGCATGGGACAAACTTCAATTCATTTCCATAAATTTTGAAGGATGCACCCATCTTCAACGAGCTTGCTCTTTTGGGTGCAACATACTGATTCCTCCATCATAATATCTAGCTCAAATTTGTGAAACCTTCTAAACTTAAAAACTTTCTCCTCTCTTTCTTTACAGGATTAGATAATTTGGAATGTAAAAATTAAGGTTGGCAACCTAAATACTAGAAGAATCCCTTAGTAAAGGTTTTTCGCTCAAATCTGTTGAAACATTTGAAAAATGAGATGCAAAAACATTTATTCTGAAAGAATCAACCAAGTTACTTTTTCCAGCACCTAGCAAGTTATTAATGACATAAGACTTCAATCAAGAAATAATATCCTTACTAGATTAGAGTCTCAATGGAAACCTTCAGAAGTAGGATGGATCCATCTTGATATTGATGGGTTTGTCAATTCCAATGGAGCTACAACATGTGGTGACATCATAAGGGATGACAAAGACAATTGGACTAAAACATTCTCCAAATATCTAGGTCACCAACTCAGCATCGTGACAAAACTTTTAGGCATATTAGAAAGGCTTCAATTTTGTTAGAATGCAAAATTTACTAAAATCAATATTCATTCTGACTCTATGAAAACTCTTTCACTTATTTAGCATAATATCTTCAGTAATCCCCTCTTTCAAGAATTTTCAAGAGAGTCAAAAATTTTGTCATGAATGACTGGATCATTACCTTCAATCATATATTCATCTAATTTCTATTTTGTTTCACAAATTTTTCATGGCCTTGTATTTAAAAAAAAAGAGCAAGTTAGGAACTAAGAATTTGCATATTCCCATGCTTATTCCTTGAACATTGATAGGTAATTGTTTGAATCTTACTACCAACTCGTCCATAATTAACAAAGGCCCATGAAAATATTTAAAAAATAAATTTATAATATATATATATATATATTATTTAGTATAATATTGATCATTTATTAATATTGAAGGAACAAATTATAAAAAAATTGAATAAGTTGGCCTTTGAAAATTGATAACTTTTTAATTTAACAATTCATGTTCAAATATTAATAAGTAATGTTTCAATATTAATAATAACTCGTTCATAATTAACAAAAGCCTATAAAAATGCTTGCAAAACAAATCTATAACACATATTATAAAGGCTTTTGCAGATATAATTCATATTATAGAACTAAGCCAATTAAACATACCAATATTTATTATATTTTACATTATGATTAGTTTATTATATTTGTCAATGATATAATATTGTACATCAATGGTAAACTGTTTGCAAATTTTTAAATTTTCAATTAGAAATCTCTTATATATCAATAATAAATTCTTTATATATCAATATGAATTGGTCATACTTTCAAATTTTAAAAAACTTGATCCATATTTTTTGGGCACAAGATATTTTTCAGCTGGTGAGCCAATTTATCTTTTTTTTAATTTAGCATAATATTAATCACTTGTCAATATTGAATAAATAAATTATAAAAAATTGAACAACTTAATCTTTGAAAATTAACAACTTTTTTTAACTATTAACAGTTCACGTTTGAATATGAACAAGTGATTATTTGAATATTAACAGCAACTCATTCATAACTAATAAAAACCCATGAAAATACTTGAAAAATAAATGCATAACATATATATTTTTATTATTTAAATAATATGACACTTGTCAATATTAAATGAATAAATTGTAAAAAGTTGAATAAGTTAATCTATGAAAATTAACAACTATTTTTTTAAATAAAATAACAAGTGATGCATATTTAAATATTAACAAGTGATTGTTTCGGGTATTAAAAACAACTTATCTGAAGTTTATAATGGCTAATGAAAATGCTTGGAAATAAAAGTAATAGTGTGTGTCCGGGAGCTCCGAGCAACAGTGACACTTTTTTTTTCATTTTTTTTTAAAAAGAGATGTGCGCAGTTTGGTAATTGAAACTTAAAATTTCCTTAGGTTAAAGGATATTGGGCCTGGAGGGCATTTTTCAGCGTGTTGAGGCCCTTATAGCCAACATCTTCCTTTGGATGGCCCTAAGTGGAATCCTCTGTAATTTGTTTCTTTATTTTTTGTGGTTACGTCTGTAAATTGTTTCTTTCATCTCGGGCCTCTGTGTGTGTGTGTGTGTGTGTGTGTGTGTGAAAGTGATAAAAGAGAGTTAAAGTGGTGTGTTAAATTGTGTTTGCTGGAGAGTGTAAGCAATCACCCGGTGACGAAATTAATGGTTCTTGCCCTGTCACAATCTTTAAGAAAAATGAATTGGTGCTCATTAAGATCTGAATCAAAACTATTACTGCAAACCAAAATCAAAAAGAAAAGAAGAGAGTTATAAGTAAGGTATTCGATCTCGTATTCAAAATGATTGAGCCCTTTTGATCCTGAGAGAGTTTCTTAATCTAATCAATGCGCAACATTTTGTATAAATAAATTATTCTATTGGGTTTGTGAAAAATAATGGAAAAGCAGTTTATAAGTACAAAAGATGTGTCACACTGCACAGGGTTTGGATCCCTTACTCTTCTTTTCTTCTCCTCATCTCATATCTAGCATTATATTGAATTTTTATCAATATTTTATAAAACTATTATAACCATAATCTATTTTTTGTATCTTTAGAAATGACATGTAATTTTTTTTTTTGAAATTTCTAATTGAGTGTTAATGCCAAAGAGCAAAAGTCCTTTTGTTCACAAAATAAAAAATAAAAAAGAAAAGGAAAAAAGTTAGATACATATCAGCCCAGAGCCTGTCATGGCTATAACTGGCCCATTACCATGATTTTCTTAAATACGCACGTATAGAAAAACGAGTTACAAATTACAATATTGGAGATTGAGTCTCATTGAGTTCCTTCATTAAATTCTTGAAACATAGCTACAACCTGAATTTGGATTCAGTAAATGCATTTAATACAGATATTGAGTGTTTGTATCATCTAAATTGTTCAAATTTAAATCAATGATTCAGATAAATTCACTCATTCATTAATTTCAAATGGAAAATAAATTTATAATCATTAATCTTAATTTTAATAATTTAAATGATATTGAATGTTCAATGTTTGTATTAAGTATAGTCACTGAACTCAAATCTGCTATAACCTAGCCAATACTGCAAGGAGTATGATGATCGATTATCCATATATAGTTTCTCTCAATACCCTCTCATACAACCTCTTCTATTTATATAATTATCCATTTAATTTAATGGTGTGAGATTGTTAAGTTTTTTGCCAACTAAGATTGTTAATTGATAATTATGGCATTGAATTAAATATATTATTCATCTATGAATTACTACCATGAATGAGTATTGTAATATTGTTTTCAAATTAAAAGCATTTAAAAGATAATAATCGATACACGGCCACTAAATAAAATGAATAATGAAATTGACGCACGAGATTAAATTATGGAGAGGATCCAAATTTCACCGCAAGTTTTCAAGTCTCTTTTTATCTGAGTTTTTAATTTTTTAAATGACAATTTTTAGAAAGAATCGAGAGGTATACTATACTATATTGCTATACGGCATGTCTTTTTTGTGTAGGTAATAATTTGGTACGCAGACGTAGTCTTTAATTTTGTAAGGGTCTTCATTCTTGACTAGCTTCACTTACAATCAACAACTGAAAAAAATAGAATAAATAAAAAATACTCCAACATTTCATCGCGTTTGCGTGCATATATAAATAGGCAAAAAAGAATCCGAGAGTTACAAAGGAATTATAAAACAAAAAAAGAACAATACCCTACATAAACGAGGCCACTTGACCTCTCTATATGGTACTAGCAATACATAACAAGAAGAAGGACATAACCCGAGGAAATCTGAGTTTCTCGGAAATGTTCCACATATCAATGCCTTTCTTATATACTTTAGCAAACGCCACTCATCTTTTCATTGTTCTTCTTCCTCATCAGCACGAACTTCTTCCAAACATCAGTGATCTCCCTCTGCGTCTCCAACTCACTCTTCTTGGTGACCACGACGCTGCCATTGTTCACGACCTCCTCATGATGCTCGGCCACCGTGACGGTGGTGGTGGACACCGCCTTGGGAGGAAGCAACTCCAGCTCGTGCAGGACCTTCTGGACGTCCAGCACGAGACGCTCGGCGAGGGTTCTGGAGAAGTCCTCGCGGATGACGACGCGGAGCACGGTCACGTGCTGGGCGTCGGGAGGCATGGTATAGGCCGGCACGATCCAGCCGAACCTCCGCAGCAGGTCGGAAACCTGGAACTCGTTGAATTGGCTTTTGTCCTTGAGAGAGAAAGCCACCAATGGAACACCATCGTCCTTTGAAACGATGGTGAACCTCCCTGTCTTCTCAAGTCCTTCTTTTAGCACCAGCATGTTGTCTCTGCAATTCTCCATCACGTTCCTGTATCCCTGCAATTGATACACATAGACCCCATTTACTCAACAATGTCACATATACAGTAGCTTAAGATAGGTGCGTGCGTGCGTGCGTGTGTGTGTGTCCATATCTGATACAGCATAATATATGCATGTAAATGCTGGGTTTCTGAGTATTGTGTCTGATATGAATGTCAACACTTATTGGGTAAGGTAAAGGTAAGGTATAACTCTGACTTTTAACACACACATATATATAGCAGGAAAATTGCGGGACTTGTGAAAAGTAATTAGATGGCTAAGTGTTGGTTAGTTTAGTACCTCGTAACCCAAGCGAATGAGTTGGTAGTACTGAGCAATGACTTGACTTGAACCTGCATTATCAGATGAAGAATATCGATATAAGCAAGAGAAGTATGAAATGAAAACTGGTAAAATATGAGTAATTTAGGTCCAAATATAAGAGGAGGTGTTGATGATTGCCTTTGGAGAAGTTGAGGGTGAAGGTGGGTTGATCGGCACCGAGATAGTTGATGTGGAAGATGAGCTCCTCAGGCAAGTCTTCTTTGCTTCTCCAGATGACCCACCCAATACCGGCGTAGACCAAACCATACTTATGCCCACTCACATTGATGCTCTTCACTAGAGGCAACCTGAAGTCCCACTCAAGTTCTGGGTATATGAATGGTGCAATGAAACCACCACTCGCTGCATCCACATGAATTGGCGTATCCCATCCAGTTTCACTGTTCTTTTTTGTAAGGAGATCGTTCAAGAGCTTGACATCTTCGAACTCTCCATTCAGTGTGGAGCCGAGGATTGCAGCAACACAGATGGTGTTCTCGTCCACCATCTCCACTGCTTTCTCAGGGTCCATTACGTAATACCCTTCCCTCAGTTTCACCTCTTTCAGCTCCACTTCGAAGTACCTAGCAAATTTCTCCCAGCAAACCTTCACACATATATGTGTCCAAGATCAATCACTGGGTAATCAATATAAACAACATTATTGTCTTTTTCTGTTTATAGTACTGGGTGATAGAGCGTGTGTGTGTGTGTGTACCTGAACATTGGCTCCTGTGACAATGTTGGGTTTGTCATAAGGCTTTCCCTCGGCCTTTCTTTTGTTCTGCCATTTTCTTTTGAAGGCCAAACCGGCCAACATTATGGCCTCTGATGAACCAACGGTGCCAACACCGACGGCGGCCTCTGAATCTCCGAGAGGTGCGTTGAAAAGATGAGCTATCATGTTCACGCACCGATTCTGCAATCATTCGTTTTGCATACAATGTCACAACATGCACTTCATCCAACAAATTAAAGTCTCCATCGATAATTACATCATACATTCAATTAATCAAATGCACAATTCTTTCTTTTTCTGGTGTGTTTGTGAGTGTAAATAACATAATTCATTTACTTTAAGAGGGATTAAAATAGTTTTCATGTCATTAAATTTTTCAATAAAAACATGATTTTAGAGTGTTAAGTTGTTCTTAAACAATATATAGTAATTATTTATAAAAATTACTTAAATATATATTATTTGCCCTTTTCAGTAATTCATATATTTTATTTGAAAAATAACTAGCACACTTTTATTTTTTTAAAAATAACGTTATAACTCATAAGCGTTAAAATGAATTGTAATACCTAAGCTTCTACACCATTAAAACTTAACAGAATATGTGCAACTAGTAGAAAAGAATAAAACCACTTTAAATATAATAAAGTCCTCTGCAATGTTGTCCATGTTGATGACAGATTATCGTTGCAGTGTTGATGCGCTTTCCCAAAAAAAACCCCCCCCCCGGAAAAATTGTAACTACAGTCACCGTAAATAGTAACATGGTGCCGCACGCTAATTCCAAAAATTTCTAGGGAAAAGAAAAGTCATGTCGATCAAATTCATAACAAGTTCAATTGTGCAAGTCATGGAGATTAAATATTAAATGATAAAAATGTCGGCAATTTGGATTCAAAAAGCTAGTTCAAAACTCCAGTCAACAATTTGATGCGAATGAAAACATTAGACCTCAACTGTCCATTGGCCACTCACAGGGAAACTTCCCTTGATCTGCGCGACTCATTTTTCTTGGTGCAATTGTCAAAAGAAAAGAAGCTATAGAACCATTGACTCTGGTGAATCTATAAAATGGGTGCCACCTGACTGGACATTTTGGGAGCAGAATATTTCCCATCCTCTCCTCACAAGGGCGGGATTTTTTTATTTATTTATTTTTTAAAGTCCTGTTCTTGTGTGAGCAGGAGACAACCTGCTCCCGCGGTTAGGTAGCGCCTTGTGCTAGTAATTAATAAGAATAGTTTAGTAAAATATCACAGTTTGTTATAATTTAAGTTATTTACTAATTTTCCTACCTTAAATGCATGATTCTAAAGGATCATAGTTAGGACTCAGGGGTGATTTCTTAAAAGTATCAGTTTCAGCAACAGAGCCACATATATTTGAGGGGACATATGCAACAATTCAATTTGATAGAAATTACAAATAAATAGTATAAAGTTTGTTATTTTATCTTCTCTAGTCCCAAAATTTTGCACCTCCTAAAATTTAGATCTTTTTTTTTAATGTTTTAACTTAAGTTCAGTTTTGAATACACTAAATCCAAAATTATAATATATTTTTAAAAAAGAATATACTAATTTATTTTATTTTTTAAGTTTCTACTTAATGATTGTATATTTATAGATTTTTATATATAAATAATATCATAAGTTAATAACTTATATGGAAGGAAATATTTTTAATAGCATTTGATAATAAATAAGGAATAATTATAAAATATATGATTATTTTTAAAAAATTATTAAATTATTAATTTTGAATTATTATTTTTAAAATTAATCTGCACGCTGACCTAGCATGTTGATTCTGCCACTGGTCAGTTCGCAATCTTAGGAAAGCAGCCGAATGCATTTGAACAGAACCACCCACTCGTGGGAGTAAATCACGGAATCGACCAGCCATTTCTTTGTGGTCCCAAGTTATCTAACTAGATAACAATCTTTACTGATCGAAAAAACAGTAATAACATGCAATTAGTTTTTTTTTTTTTTTTTTTTGCTTTTAGGGGGGAAAAAACTATTGTCCGGAGAGGGAATAGCAAAACAAGTCACCGCTGGTGTATAGTCTAAGTATGAAGAGTGTAAATAATTAAGAAAATACCCTCTTCCTATTCCTCTTTACAAGATGGAAAGGAAAATTTTTTTATCCTATTAAGCCAATACATTTTTATCATAATTTTTTTAATCATTGATTAAATGTTAGTTACTCCTCACAAAAAAAAAATATAAAACATTAATAGGAGAATTAAAATGGAAAACTTATTGAATTTTTAAATAAGAGTTGAAGAGTTTAATTTTAAATTTTTTTTATTCTATTAAAATATATTAAAAGTGACTTATAAATAAAAATATAATAATATTTTTACATGTTCATATCTCCCCTCTTTGTCACGTTTCAACAGAAAAATATTAATAAATAAAAACATAGTCTCAAAACGTTATCTTAAACATGAGAGTAAGGTTTCAGATATAAAAAAATATATCCTCGTCAAATGTGTGGCAAATTAGATATAGTTCTGCCATCAATTATCAATTAATAATATAATAGTGGTTGAGAAAGATGTGTCGGCCATGGTGGGAGTAACTGGGGACGAAGCATGTGTCTCACTGAATTATATGAGACAAGGAACGTGCATAGGACCGAGCATCAGTGGAGTGTACAATTTTCCACACAAGATTGAGGCTTGGGAGGGAGGCTCATGGTTTTTGATTGCCCGCATGCGACGCTGGTTTTTTTGGTTTTTCAAGTGTCTTCTTTAGATCCGTGAATATCGCATGCGCGTTTGAAATTTATTTACTCACTAAACTGAGCCTGGCTCTTGTCAATTGTGCCGGTCTTCTTCGCATATTTTCAATCTTCTAGAAAATTGGGGTTTTCCCTTTTAACTTCTTTTTTTTTAAAAATAGCAAAAAATTCAGGTGTGTTTGCATGCCTCTAAATTTAAAGAGATACTTAGCAATAAATTAATTGTTTTGAATAAAAATTAAAATAATATTATACCAAAGGTTTGTTTGGCCAATTAAAAAAGTATAATATATTAATACATGAAACACATTACCGGCGCATTAAGGAGGAAATCATAACATCAATTTTGTTATGATTTCAAGCACACATATTTAAATAAGTTATGGTTTTCATTAAACAAACAAATTAAAGCGCATGTTGAAATAAACTAAATAAGCTAATGTGCTGTAGGTGTAGCCTGGACCGGAAAGAACCAGCTAGAGCATAATCCTGGGGTATCTAAACTTAAACGTGTAATTTGTTCCCATTATTGCAAGTCCCTCATCGATTTTATTATTACTTTACTTTATAATAAAACGACAAGTAGTTTTGGAAACAAACAGTAACAAAGACCTGGTTTGAGCCAAGAAGGAAGATATTAAACAAAAAAAGACTTGTTTATAAATAGCAGGAAAGTGATCGGAGTAATTAATTTAAGTAAGACTTTTAATGGGATATTATTTTAATCAACATTCCTAATCCAACCACCCAACCTAACTAATCAAAAGCATTTAGTATATCATCATCTTTGATAAGATTCCGGTTGTCATTTGATTATTAAAATTTTCCAGGTAGGATGATATGTTATTATTAAGAAAAAAAAAAGATATTTGTGAAAGGAAGAATGGGTATAAAGTCATGCCTTGCAAAAAGGGTAGACAGTAACTGCACACTTATTTTAAGAGAGGAGTGAGGAGAAAGAAAACAAGTTGAGGCCAAAAGGATTAAAAAAAAAAACAAGAAGAAGAAGAAGAAGAAGAAGAAGAAGAAGAAGAAGAAGAAGACAAGAAACGTGTGCATGAACAGAGCAAAGTTCAATCTTGTATTGTACACTTTCATGGAGTTTCTTTTTAAAAAGGAAGATTCAGATAAAAGAAAATTTTAATATTTTTATTAATATATATTTTTCCTTGCCCTTTTAAACTATAATTTCTACGTTGAATGTAAACTTTTAAAAAATAAAAAAAAAAGAGAATCAAATTAAAGGATAGTAAGATAAAATTGCATCCTCTCTCTTCCTTCAATTTTATCTTAACCCTCCGTGTAACTGTAATAATCTAGAGATAGTATTATTTTCTTTTTCGCATATTACCTTTTTTTATTTCAATTTTTGCTGGATACATATTACTCTATTTCATAAAACTATATTTGTGACTATGTCGATCTGTACTTCACTTTCTTTATTTTTTAATTTTTTTAATAATTCAAACTCGTGGGCCCGGAGGCTGCAACTATACTGGTTGAATTCGTGAAGGATTCCAACTGATATCTGTTTCACGCAATAAAGCACTGGCGCGTTTTGCAATCGCAACCGCACCGAGGCATGCGTTTAGCAATGAGAGCTTATCGAGTGTCTGGATGGTATAGTAGCAGTTGGTTCAGATGATAATGAAATGATCGCTCCCACACAACTCACTGATAATTTTTTTTTAAAAAAAAAAAGAATTGGTATCAGTCATGTACGGAGATCTTGAACTTTTTACTCTTAACTTCAAGAAGGTGGAAAGTTTATAAGGTGAAAGAATTTGTTCTGCTAATTAAAAAACGGTTAAAAAAATAGGTTTCAAAGATATGGCACAATCTGAAAAGCGAAATGTTCAAACGATTCGGATCCTAGTAAGAAGGAGTAAAGAAGGAGATGAAAACACATACCTGGAGTTCGGTAGTGACAGGGTACTCATCCATGTCGACGTAGTTCTTGTTAATGGCGGCCATGATGAGCTTATCGCACTCAGGTTCCATCCACGTGGTGACGAAGGAGGCGAGGTTCAGCCTCGGATTGCCGTCCAGCATGAGCTCGTCGTTTATAATCTGAAACGCCGCCTCCTTCGGAATCGACTCCTCCGGCATCTTGAACCTGCAATCACCGTCGCCGACGATCATTCAATTTCCAATCCACCATCAACATCATAAACGAATTGAATCATATACGGCAACGAAATCAGCACATAAATTAATAAATAGATACCTACCTGGGAAGAGAAGCGCGGACATAACGGGAAGCGAAGGTAGAGTGAACGGAGACGTCGGTCTGAGAGGAGGTTTTAGAGAGAACCATGGCGGAGAGCGAATTAATGTAGAGAGGGAAATGAATCAGTGGAATTTATGATTGTGTGCAGAAGGTGAGGAATGAAGAGGCTTAAATAGGGAAAAGGATAGGAGGAGAAAGGTCCTGACGAAGGCAATATCAGTGAAGCCAAGAAAAGAAGCATCGGACGAAGGACGGAACGAACTTTTCAATTTCACGACCGATTAAACATTTAAAAAAAAAAAAAGCCAAAAAGTCTCCGCGTGAAGAAAATTCTCGTTCTTTCTCCACCGTTGTCTCATTGTCACTTTTTAATATTTTGGTAAATATTTATTTTTTTCCTTGAGGCAACACAATTTTTAGTTACCGTATTATTTCTGCTTCCCTCCTAGTAACTTTGTTTGCAGGTCTGAACTCGGAAGTCACAAGGGGGACCCAAATTCTAGTGCACATCTAAATGGAATAATTCTCTCGATATAGGTTCTTTTGATTGTAAAACTCAAATTTTAAAATCTTATTCTAAAACTTTCGAGATACTTTTATATTAAGTTAATGCTTGTTTTATATGAGTTACGTTACTTTGATATAAAGTTTTAGAAGCTTTTATTTTATCTCTAAATATAAAGAGTGTCATAATATTTTTGAATAATTGAATAATTTTTATTGTGATTATATGTTCTTTTAACTAAATAATAAATTTATAGCAATATGTAAAATTTAATTAAAAACATCTTATATTTAAAAAAAGAGCGAGTATATATGTTAGTTGGAAAGCTTTGTTTTGGTTCTAATTACAATTTATAAAACACTTATCTTCCTTCACTTTGTTTATGATATTTGTTAATGTTTTTCCAAATTATATACCTCTATAATTAATTAGATTCCAGCATAACTGTGATTAAAAGAAATGTATTATAAATGATAACTAATTCACCTACTTTTACTTTTGATGGAATGGTTTACATGTGAAGTGAATGTTTGTAAGTCAAACATCCATTAAGAGAAGGGGATAATAGTTTACATTATCATTTTGCTCGGTCATTTTTTTTTTCTTTTGCAAGGTCAAGAATATATGTTTTTTTCCAGCAAGAATATATTTCATATGAAAGAATATTCTAATTGTCAATCACATGTCAACAATATTATTAATTACTTATTTACTTAAATATGTTTATCTTGTTATTAAATTATATATATATATATATATATAGTTGACCGACAAAATAGCCTTAAAGTATACTATTACAGAAATGAGTTTTGAATTATATATATAGAAGCTCAACATGGCAACAAATAAAAGAGCATAAAACAAATCAAAATATTAGTTGAATGAAAGTTTCATAGACGAGACTTGTCACATTATAATGTTGCCAAATTGGAGGATCAACTTGTCCTTATGATGTAAACAGCACATTAATTAGGCTTTGAATTGTCAAGGTATATATGACAATTAGAAAAGTATTCAAAGGTGTGCACGATCGATCACTTTGAGGAACTCATCATATTGATACCTGTGGCTGAAGGATCAATAAAGTCATGCAAGTGGCTAGTTAATTAGTTAAAAATTTGTTTATACCGTTATAAAAAGAATTGTGCGTACGTGAGTGTTTGTGTGTGTGTGTGTTGGTGTGTGAACAAACAAAAGCTTTAAAGTAGGAAAACGAGAGAATTCCGTGGGCTAGTATTTTATTTTGACCAGTGCTTGTTCGGAATAAATTTAAACATCTTATTAGCGTTTTTAAGTATGGTTAAGTGGAAGAAATTCCATTTTTTAAAGGAAAAATACAACCACTAACCTTTATATTTAGCATGTTTTGATATTAGTCCCTATAATTTTTTTTTGTCAATTTTAAAGGAAAATACAATTGTTCTCACATGTCTACAATGTTAATTCTTATTATTAATAACAAAGTTAAATCTGTTAATATATATATATATATATATAGTTATGTTAATTTTATTGCTGAGTTGGTACTATTATCAATTGAACATTATGAGTAAAATGGTTATTAACCTTTCTATCTTATTTTTGTCATGTCTTTTTCTTCTAAAGCTTCATCTATCGCATAAATTTAAAATTTGGTTTTTTTTTTTTTTTTTGCATTCTACTCATTTTTATACAATCCATTATAATTTTAACGAGTGAAGTAACATAGTTATATATATATATATATATTAGCCATCGTTATGTCCTTATAGTCATATTTGAAAATAGAAAAAATACAATTATTAATCTTTATAATTTATATAGGTCTTTATAGTTTTCTTTTTTTTTTTGTTATTTCATGTTCGCTAGTTTATCCCTTGTGCAATATCAAATGAAGAGCATTTTTCTAGTATAAATTATTTTGCAACATCATAGTTGCAAAATACATGGCTAGGTGAAAGTGCTGCACATTAATGGTAATAAAGTTATGCTGTTCAAAATAATTGTATTTCATTTTGTAAAAACCTTAATGTTATGTTATAAATATGCTAATTATAGTTGTAAATTTATGTCCAATGCTAGTAAGATAATTAAACTTAAACTTAACACTATAGCAAGGTATGAGGTGGCATGACAACTTGGTTGTGCCCCACAAATAGAGAAACATACTAACTTGATCTATTATAGTTGATGATTTAAGGCTAAGTATGCTTGCACTTAATTCAAACATGGCTTGTCAAAATGACTAATTTTACAAGTAAAATGTCTATTATGACTTATTATCTAAAAAAATGTCTAATATAACTTGTAAATTTCTTTATGTTGCTTGTTAAATTTAGAATATTACTGTCAAATACTTAACTAGTTTAAATTTAAGCATGACTTATTAAATGACTAACTTCACAAATAAAAATAAAATATCTAATATGACTTATAAATTTCTTTACATTTCTTATTAAGTTCATAATTTTACTTGTCAAATAATTTATCTATGTAAATCCATACATGACTTGTTAAATGACTAATTTCACAAGTAAAATACCTAATATGATTTGTAAGTTCTCTTATATTACTTGCTAAGTCTGAAATGTCACAGCTGTACAAGATCCATCTTGTGTAAACTCATATGTAACTTGTTAAATTACTAACATTACAAGTAAAATGTCTAATATTACTTGTAGATTTCTTTACATTTCTTGTTAAGTTTGTAATATTACTTGTCAAATACCTAACCCATGTAAATTCATAAACGACTTGTTAAATTACTAATGTCACTTGTAAAATATCTTATATTACTTGTATATTCCCTCATATTACTTGTTAAGTTTAAAATGTTACTTGTGCAATAACCTTTGTAAATCCAAACATGTTAAATGACTAATTGTACAAGTAAAATGTCTAATATAATTTATAAGTTTCCTTACATTATTTGTTAAGTCCATAATGTTACTTGTGCAATATCTAACATGTGTAAATCCAAACATGACTTGTTAAATTACAAACTTTATAAGTAAAATATTTAATATAACTTGTAAATTCTCTCACGGTATTTATTAAGATTAGAATGCTACTTGTGCAATGTCCATCTTGTAATCCATCAATGACTTGTTAAATTACTAAAATCACTTGTAAAATATTTAATATTACTTGTTAATTCCCTTATGTCACTTGTTAACTATACTAATGCTTCTGATAGAAAAAAAAATATACCAATGTCTGGTAAATACTCAATTAAAATAATAAAATCAATTAATTTAAACATCAAAAGAAGCACAAATACATTGCAGCAAATAGTCAATTTACATTTCCAAAGTTGTAACATTAAGCTCATGACAGCCATGGGTCTCCAACTACAAAAGGAAGAACATCAAAATGAAGTTTTTTTTTATACAACAGGAAAAATGAAACTATCTTTTAACTATGTCATTGTTGCTCTTTTTGCATATTCTATATGGTTGGTTGGTATTAGTGAATGGGTGGATGTAGATCTTGAACTATATGGATGTTGCACTAGGCACCAACAACAGCTTCTTCAATGCTCTTAAACTTTTCTTTATTCTCTTCTTGAAATTCTTTTTTGAATTTTTTGAATCCTATTACTTGTTCTTTCTTTTTTCCTTGTTTTCATTTGTCCTTCTTTCTTCTCCACCAAATTTATAGCCCTGCAAAAATTAACATTAAGCCTGTTATTAATAAATTAAAACTATTTGTAAATTCACTTACGCAACTTGTCAATTATCCAACTCCACCTATTACTTGTCTGCAACAACTCATTCAATAATTGTGCTTGTTAACCTAGTAGATGTACTTGTACTTATGGTTTTCAATAGTGTAAATTATGGTTACTATATTTCATTGACTATGACAATTTACCAGCAAACAGGTAGACATTTTGATTGTAAAATTGGTATAAATAACAGGTAAATTCTCTAACACTATCATTTGTCATTCACCAACCATAACTTTTTCATTCTTCCAAATCAAGTGAAGATTTCAAAACATAGAGGGAAGAAGCAATATCAAAAAATGAAGGCATGCAATGACAAAAGGGACAAATCACTGCTCTTAAATGGTTCCATGAATAGAAAAAATAACAACGCAGAGTCAAAATGGACAATCTTAGACTTTTATCTACCATTTTTTTTCTGGGTTTGAGCATCAAAACAATGAAAAAAGAGTTGCAAGATGCAAACCTGATAGCACACTACAATGTCCACAATAGCATTGATTCACAAAATGGCACACTTGGTACCGCAATAGATTCCTCAAGCAATCGCCTTTACTTTCATGAAATTGACTTTGAGGGAGTCTTCGTGCAAACCATGGGAAGTTAACTCTAATCTTCTTTTGAAAATGGCTTCATAGCTTTATGCTTGTTTAAACATTAAGGCTTTCTAGTAATTTCATAGAAAGGTATAGGGCTTTTTGGTCATTTCACATAGAAAGATAATTTCAAGTTGGGCCTCAAATCTGTAGTGTATTTTCAGAAATGATTGGGTCTCATTTGAATATATTTGTCTACAGTGGTCCTAAAGTGAAATTCTCCCAAGAATCAAATTGCAACTTGCACGAAGCTTTGGGGGCAAAAAAATTTTCCTTTGAAAGAAAATATGTGAGATTATTTGCTGGCAAGTTTGACTCAATGACGGGGCCCCACCAATGTGAGTATTGGTGATTGACAAAGTCGGTCGAATGGGCTGCTTTGATTGACCGGCCCA